CATTTCCATCCCACTCAGCCTCCCAGTAACAGCGGCCAGTCAGACTCTCTCTGCACAGAACTTGGGGGCGGCTGTTAAATCTCTCTGGATGATCAGGATATGGCTGCTTTGCCCCCCATGTCACCTTCCTGTCCCCCCCTGACAGAGACAGGTGTCTGTGTGCTGTATTGGGGTCCAGCATCAGCTGGCAGGAGTCTGTGGGTAGGAGGAAGAATTATTAATACCATCAGGCAGCCTGTACTTTATGTTTCTGTACAATATAAAAACAGCACAGCTTCCCCTAACGAAACGGGAACTGAAGTTTATGAAATAGCTCAGGAAATGTCGGACGGCGCGGGACGCCGGCGGTAAGAGCCACCAAAATGCTGCGCGAGCTAAACTAACATCTTAATTACGCGTAAATACAATTACAAAGCAGCGACATTCATCAGACATATTCACCACACGCATATTTACCACAAAACGGCACAAGAGATTAATGATTAAACTGAGTGTCTTTACTTTAAAATATAACCTTCCTTCGAACCGCACGCCTCTTCACAGCAGCGCTGCCCGCAGACAGAGCAGAGAGTCCGGCATCAGCGCCGGTGTTCTGTCGATATATGCTGCCTTGTCGAAAAATGCTACCGTAGTGCTAATAGATAGCCCTAACCCTAACTCTTACCCTAACCCTAACCCCCCAAAACCCCTAAAACCCTTACCTTGACCCTAACCCTAACCCCTTAAACCTAACCCTAATCCCAAAACGGTGGAACTGGACATGCGCAGAAAGGCTCGATAGCACGTCTCGATAGGTAGTATTTTTCGACAGAACACCCGGTTTAGAAGAGAGACAGATAAGGAGCATGAACTGATTACATCTGCCTGCAGACTCCGCCAGGAGGGTCTCTACTGTGGGGCTGGAAATTCCACTCCTGCCCGGACGCGACGCTACTAAAGAGAACTCAGTAGGCTAGATTATATATTTATTAAAGCTAGTTCCGGATGTTGCACTGACGTCATCTCCACGCTATTGAGGAGGTCATATGATTCTGGCGCCCCCTAGTGGTGGTATATCCTACGTTATACAGAGTGATACGATATAATCCTAGTGGAGATAATAATAATAATAATAATATCCTATGTTATTACTATACATTATTATGATTTATTACCAGTAATAATAATACCTATATAATTCTATAATTATATATAAAATGTTGACATTATACAGACACATATGTATATGTACATATATACTTATACAAATTATTATATTTATACTATAATAATTATTAACAATAATAATAATATCTCTATCCTATACTTCAGCTCTGTTTCTGAAGTTTGCATAACGTCATATCCGGCCCAGGAGTGGAGATCATGTGATTTCCGGTCCCACAGTGGAGATCCTCCTAGCGTAGACACCCAGTGTTCTGCAGCCAGACCATTCTCCCGGTCTGGGGGAGACTATGGGTGTCATCTTAGGACAATACTAACGAATCTCAAAAAGATAAAAGTAAACTCACTGCATGTGCATGAAGAACAAATGCAAAGGATTTATTTGTGAAATCAAAGATGCAGAACTATATCAGAACATATTTTAACCCTGTTACACTCCCACACAAGGACAATATAAGTATCTATAAAGTACTTGTTTGTACAAAAAAAAGATTAATGAATTAATAGTATTTTTGGTGATGCCTGTTTTGTCTGTGAGTGGCATGGTGGTGCAGTGGTTAGCGCTGTTGCCTCAGGGCAAGAAGGTCCTGGGTTTGGTCCTGGGTCCCTTCTGTGTGGAATTCACATGCTCTCCCTGTGTTTGCATGGGATTCCACCGGAGGCTCTGGTTTCCTCCTATGGTCCCAAAGTGTGCAGGATAGGCTGATTTGTGTGTGTGCCCTGTGGTGTGTTGGCACCTGCCCAATGTTGGTTCCCGCCTGCACCCCTTGTTCCCAGGATAGGCTCCTGTGACCCCAGTTGGGATTAAGCGGTTATGCTGATGGATGTTTTGTCTGTTTTCTTTCCCTTTGGATACTGTCTAAACTGTCACACACAGAGAAACTCACCTAAATACAAACAAGGAAATCCATCTACATACAGTGCAAAAAGCCACACTCATCACAACAATTGCATGAATACAATCATAAAATGGTATTATTAATATAAACATGCAAACACACTTACATTTCTGTACGCCTGGTCTGGTCCTGCACTCTCCACTGTGGTCCACACTATAGGAAAAGCAGAATTTAGAATTGTAGAATTAGAATTTAATGATCAGTGGTTATTGCTGACACACCACAGCACACAGTGCACAACAAAAAAATGTGTCCTCTGCGTTTAACCCATATGTGACACCGTGACATAGTAGGGGGCAGCTAATTCAGCACCCAGGTAGCAGTGCTTGGGAGCGGTACCTTGCTCAGGGTACCTCAGTAGTGCCGTGCTGGTCAGGGATTCCATCCAGCAATCTTTCAATTACAAGTGCGCTTCCCTAACCATTAAGCCATAACATAGTACTGCTGTATCCATTTATTTATTGGTGCCTCTTCTTCACATACATGCATAAGTATCTGTAGTGTGTCAGACACACACTCTGTACTCACTTCAGCTTCTCCAGTTTACAGCTGGGATCCTCCAGTACAGCAGAGAGCAGCTTCACTCCTGAGTCTCCTGGGTGATTGTAGCTCAGATCCAGCGCTCTCAGGTGTGAGGGGTTTGACCTCAGAGCTGAAGCCAGGGAAGAACAGCCTTCTTCTGTGACTCTACAGCCTGCTAGCCTGCAGAAAGGAAATCACCAAATATCAGACAAAATACAGGTGGCAGCGACCCATCAAAACACCAGTGCTGATGTGCCCAAAGCCACAGCCTGACTGGGACCAGTGACTGGCCTAGACCCCCCCAGACCAAACAGCCATTCAGCACCTCCCCCTTTTCCTCCATCCCTGCTCTCCCTGTTCCTGATAAAAAGCTGCCATTTGGGGGCATTTTTCTGCCCCCGGGTTTGCCTGTGTGCCTCTGTTCCTGCGGCCCCCACACACTGTACACTGAAGCTCACCTTTTAGCCTCACTGACTGTGTAGTAACAGACATGAATAATCAGCCCAGTTCAAAATAAAACCATCCAGTGACAGTGACCCACTGCATGAAACTTAGAACTGGACTCCCTCATCCACAGCCCTGCCACAAGAAGAGCACTGATGGCAGAGAGGA